CACGCTTAACTTTGGAGTTTCTAAGAGTTGGGTTCCCGAAAAGAAGATGCATCTTGGTGGTATGAGTATTCCAATCAAATCTATCAATACTAATCACATCACCCTCTCAAGGATTGGGGTATTACAATTCTTGAATGGTCTGGTTGAATCTTCGGCGCAATCCGTACCATTTGTACCAACGCTCATCGAGGAACCCTACCGGGTAGAACTGCTTTCTCAGTAGTTCCTTGAACTTGTTCCACGACACCGTCTTCCTTTCCTGCTTGCAATAGGATTTCCACCATGTCAATACATGCCCCGAAAGCTTCAAAGTCGCGAACACGAGTTTCTCCTTAGATGAATATCCGTAGAGGATAAAATATCTCCATCCGCTCGATCCAATCGTCGAGCCTCTCGACGTTGACACTCCCATCATAAACAGGAATCTCCACCTTAAAACATATCTTCAAATTCTGGTAAGAACCTTTAACCCCTTGATACGGAACAGTCTTGACAATCTCGGTCTCCTCATCAGAATCAGTTTCCTCACCCTCCCCATCGGACTTTACAAGTTTCTTCTTGCCTTTCGAAGAAGATTCCTCCTTTTTGTCCTTTTCTTGGAAAAGATTGACGAGCTGTGTGAGAGTCGAATCCATTATCTCCATCTGTTTCTCCAATGCATCAAATCTCGCTGAACTATCCCCTTCAGTCATCTTCTTCTTCCTTAATCTCTAAACTCCTTCCAAAGAATTAAGGATCTCACCTAGCTTATTGTATTGCGATCGAGTAAGGACCATACACAGGATCCCATCTTCACAGGATCTAATCGCTTTGATACTAATTTGATACGATTCGTTGAACGAGCACCCTTGATCGCGGAATTATCAAGAGTGGGTTGTGAAGAAGACAATAGAAAAACACACAAAGAATTGAGTTGGGCGAAGGAAAATATCTTCTCTAGATTATGAGAAATAATAGATTACAAATCTCTCTCTCACAATCTCTTTAGATCAAAGAACGATCTCCCTGATCTCATTTTTGAATCCAATCCGGTTCCCTAACCCTAGAAAAGTCGTGTTTTAATATATATCAAACACAAAACCTAAAGCGAATAGGAAACTGGAAGTCTGGCCCAGCCCGACTCGCGGTCGACCGCAGAGACACGTGTGGTCAACCGGACATAACGATAGAACTCAGTATCGAATACTTGGTTTGGCGGTCGACCGCAGAACCCATCGCGGTCGACCGCGAAAAGTCCAGAGACTTTTCCTGAGCTGTGCACGTTCTCGATCGACCGCGACGTTACATACGGTCGACCGCTGGAAGTCTAAAGTGTTTCCTGCAGTTTTTCCTGTACTCTTAGA